TTCCTGCCCATGGCAGGCTGTTGCAACAGGGGAAGCTTTGAGGTCCCTTCCAACCCAAACCAGTCTGGGATTCTGCGATCTGTTTCTTTGCTAAACAATCTTTTTTTTTTGCCTTTTATCTTCCAAGCAAAAAAAGGAAAGAACTGGCACAGAAGACCAGGTAACAAGAACTTGTGTGATAGTACCTTTCCTCCGAAGGTGATGTTCTCGTTTGCTCCCATGTTCCTCTGCATTGGTAAGGGTTTCCTGTAACTGCTGTAGCTTCTCCTGGTTCTGAAGATGTGTCATACGTAGCTGAGCTCGGAGGTCCTGTATTTCTGAGAGCAAGCTATTCCGGTCTGAGGAGAAAAGGTGCTCTACAACCATCTGCCTCTGCTCCTCCTGAAAACAAACCAAATCCTATCAAATCCACAAGGTTATTCCCATATTTCCTAAAAATATGAACCCTACAGACACCCTTCCAGTTCAAGTTTTATACTGTGGCACTAAGTTCATGCATCATATTACAAAATATTAACAGTAAGTAACAAAGAAAAAATCCACTTCACTAGCTTCCAAACAGAATAATAGTTATTAATAATGGTTGACACATAATTATTACTACAGACCATTTGGTCAGTACCTAAAACCTAAATATTAATTATAGAAGCAAAAATTCCCAGATTCGGAGTTAGCTCAGTATCTACCCTTTGCAAGAGAGGTCTGTGAAGCTCTAGATAGAATTCTGGATAGAATTTAGAAGCATAACACTTGAAGAGGTTTTCTTACCTGTTGTTTCATGATATACTCCAGCTTTTCTCCTAATGAACCATCCCCACCAGACCCAGAATTGGAGAAGTGAGACTTCAAGTCAATTTGCAACACATTTCTCTCCTTCTCAAACACACTCTGTACTGCTTGCAGAAGTTCTCCTCTCCAGTCAGCAGCAATCCCTGAGAATTCCTGTTAAAAAATATATATATTTTAAATGGCATCTTTCTCAGTGTGTAACCTACTGTCCTTCATCTCATTCCTGTGTAAGAGTGTACGAACCTGCTAATTTCAGCAGACCAATGGTGCTTAAAGAGGACTGTTTCAACCTCAGAAAGAGTCCCTTGCTCCTCATACAGCACACACACACAAACTACATATCAATATTTCTATAGAGTAAAAAACTGGTTACCTTCACAGAATCACAGAGTGGTTGAGGTTGCAAGTGACCACTGGAGGTCATCTAGTCCAACCTCTCCGCTCACGCAGCATCAACTAGAGCATATCACTCAGGATTGCGTCTTGAGTGCTCCTGAGTAGCTCCAAGGATGGAGACTACAAAATCTCTCTGGGCAACCTACTCCAATGCTTAGTCACCCTCACAGTAAAGAAGTTCTTCCTCATACTTAGCTGGAACTGCCCGTGTGTTTTAGTTTAGTTTATGCCTCTGGTCCTATCACGCGGCACCACCAAGAAGAGTCTGGCCCTATCCTCTGGACACCCTCCCTTCACATACTTATCACAGAATGGTTTGTGTTGGAAAGGACCTCAAAGCTCATCCAGCTCCAATCCCCTGCCACGGGCAGGGACACCTTCCACTAGAGCAGGTTGCTCCAAGCCCTTGTGTCCACCCTGGCCTTAAACTCGGCCGGGGATGGGGCAGCCACAGCTTCTCTGGGCACCCTGTGCCAGCGCCTCAGCACCCTCACAGGGAAGAGCTTCTGCCTCAGAGCTCATCTCAGTCTCCCCTCTGGCCCGTTAAAGCCATTCCCCTTGTCCTGTCCCTACAGGCCCTTGTCCAAAGACCCTCTCCAGGTTTCCTGGAGCCCCTTTAGGCACTGGAGCTGCTCTAAGGTCTCCCTTAAGGAGCCTTCTCCAGGCTGCCCCAGCCCAGCTCTCTCAGCTTGTCTCCAGAGCAGAGCTGTTCCAGCCCTCACAGCATCTCCGTGGCCTCCTCTGGACTCACTCCAACAGCTCCACTTATACACTGATCAGGTCCTCCCCGAGCTTTCTCTTCTCTGGGCTGAACAGGCCCAGCTCCTTCACCCTTTCCTCATATCCTTGCTTTAAAGCATATTTTTAGTGTCATACCTTGTCTCCTCTATCTGCCACCTTGCCAAGGTAGTCTTTCAGTGACTGTATAGCATCCAGCAGGGCTAAGCCCTCCTTCTGCCATCCCTCCATTGCTGCTCGGGTCTGATGGACGTTTTTCAGCTCCCTCAAATCAAAGGGACATTCTGATAAAGCCAGGATTTTGCGGCTCTCCTCATACACCATCTTCAGCACAGCCTGAGGACAAAAGGCATAATGTTAGGAGATAGGCATCAGCATCCTGGCAGTGTAAGAGCAAGATGAGAGAGCACTAGACAAGGAAAATAAGGTAACTGTCTGATATGCGCGATACAGATAAAAACACGGTCTGCCCTGCTACTTGGAATGCTGAATGAACCAATACCCATACTCAAACACACATGCAGTGAGTCAACAGTTACCAGAGAATTTTTATCTCCCCACAACTAATTCAAGAATACAGTGGCCATTGTACTGTTAAATAGTGTACTCACAATATTAAAGTACAAATGGAAGCCTCAGCCAGAGCACTTTATTGCTGTGCGCATCCACACACTAATATGCAATTAAGCCAAAGGACTGTGCTTTACCTTTGTTGTTTCTGAACTCTTTAGCAAAGGCTCCTGGGAATACATTAAATTCTGTCAAGTGTGAAGCTAGGTTACTAAACCCCAGTGATGCCAGAAAACTGAATTATGTATTTAGACAACTTTGGCTTAATTTAGTAGCTTACGTACAAATAACATCTCCCAAAATAATCAGTCTTAATAAATTACACAGTGGAAATTGTTTCCTGTGACACTGTCAGGAAAAATAATCTCTTTTAAATAAATTCCCTGTACACAAACTATTACATCACGCACAGATGTTTCCTGGTCTCTTTTCAAGGAAGGTCACTGGAGATTTAAGTCCTTTTCTACACAAATCTCATCAGAAATATTCCAGCCTGATGCGGAGCTGTTCCTCGTTGCTACTCACTTTAACAACACCACCACAGAGTACTTCTCTATAAATCCTCATTTTCTTTCTTTGCACTTTTTGAATGACTTAACTTTTGAACCAACTTGAGCTGCTTTCCTGTCACTTGAACCAAAAGAGTGATTACTTCAAGAACCAATGCTAAATGATGAAAACCTTAGTAAACATGAACAACAGAAGCACAGTAAATTGTTCCAACTAAACATCCAGTACTGGAATTTGCATTCAGATCTTACAGTCAGTAAAGATTAGACTGACAATCCAGAGAAGAAACTGTTTCTTAAGATAAAATAAAATTCACCTCTTCCACAAAGTCTGTGAAACTATGCTTTTGATAAATACTACTTTTCAGATACAGATTTGGGACAGAAGTGACCTTTAAGGATCATCTAGTCCAAGCTCTGGCACATGGGGGTATCTTTCATTAGACCAGGTTGCTTAAAGCCTCATCCACAGCTTCTCTGGGCAACCTGTTCCAGTGTCCTTTGAGGCATTTCATAGGTGTTTTCCTGTTGTTCCTAATACATCAGCTGCTCCTGGCTCTTCTCTGTAGCTCAAAACTCTACCCCTTTCTCTTGCTAAGTCTAAGTTAAAGCTCTCCTTATAGGTTTGACCAGTTTATTGGTGAAGACACTCTTGTCCTACTTGGTCAGGTGAATCCCATCAGCTCCCAACAGATCTGTCCATGACAGAATCAAAACCTTAAGTACAGGTTACACTAGCTACACAGGTAGGTATTTTCCTGTTTGAGTCCTCCATCCTGAACTCCTTCCTCTGACTGGGAGGACAGACGAGAAGACCATCTGTGCTCTCAATCCTTTTAACATTCATCTGAGGGACACAGAGTCTCTTTTGATGGTTCCAAATTGCCTTGTTACAGTATTGTTATTGCATACAGTTATGGTATTACTGTTCCTACATGGAATAGTAGGAGCAGATGGTTATCTGCAGGGTTCACTAGGCTTGGCAGCCTCTCAGTGATAGCACGAATTCAAGCTCCTGGTAGGCAGCAAATATCTCTAGAGGAACTGTCTGGATGGCAAATGCTGGTGCTTCAGTGCACCCTCAGTAAGGAATTTCTGATCACTGATACTTTACAAGCTTTTCTGGTACCACAGGTTCTAAGTAGGTGGTTGCATCACCTTTGCACTGTTGGCTTTTCCTTCATCATGTCAGTTACTCAATGTGCTTTTCATTCTCCAGTGCCAGAGCATCATGCCTGTTTTGAAGGGACACTTCAGAGGATGGAGGAAGGTTCTTCCTTCTGCCTTGAGCTGAGATAAAGGTTCATTCTCCTTCATCTTGTGAGTTACTTGTGTCAGCCAGTGTAAGTCTGGATTCAGACTTACCTTCCCCTTGCACAGCCTTACTTCATTATACAGATCTTCCTCTGTTTTGTTGAGCAAGCTGAAAGAATCTGCTAAACATTTGAGGAGGCAGCATTCACTTTCTAGGAAGTGTGTTTCTTCTGGTTTCTCATTATTTAAGAACCCCCTGTAGCCTGCTGATTTGGAGCACTGAATTTCTCCCCTTCACAGGCTGGGATTCCTCTAATGGCTGAGAGCTTGTTCAGCTGCAGCACCAAACCAAAGAGGCCCATGCATACACTTCCTTAAACTTGTCTTGCTGACTACAGTAAGCAATCACTGCTCAGTCTTCTGTATATTCTTAAAGCTCCTTGAACTGACTTTGAAAAGTTCCCTCCACATCTTGTAGCAGTGTTCCCACAGCTCTCCATCATATCAGAATGACAAGAATAGGCAGGGGAGCATGATGTCAGCTAGCTATGCTTGCTTAGGAAACAGCTTTCTGTAAAGCCTCCACGACAAACCCATAAATCAGATCAATTAGTCCTTGTACTGTCAAATTCTGGAACATCACTAGTGCTGTCCTAGCAAAATCTTCAATTCTAGCAAGTACAAGCAAGACAAATGTCAGGAAATTTCTCATATGAGAGATGAAATAATTACAGAAGAACCAACATCAACTTGAATTTTAAACCATTACAGAACAGTTTCCACAGTGTAAAGGTCACAGCTAACTGTTTTATATTAGCATTTCATTTCTGCTGTTGCAGTTTTAAATTGCTTCTATTAATCATGTATTACCTTCAGCTGTGGTGAAAGTATTTCCTTTTCTCTCACTGATTCCATAAAATCTGGAAACATTCCACGGTACTGCAGATAAGCCATGAACCTAGCATCTAGGTGCTCTGATGTTTGTAGCTCCTGCTTCAGTTTAGCTGCCAAATTTGAGCTGGTATCTGAAGAAAGAGACAGCCCCCCCACAAGTGTTACAAAGATGAAAAGCACTTGAAACCAGCATAACCACTTGCAAAATATCCATGATTTCTTCTCCTAGTTTGAATGCAGGGTCAGCTGAAGTTATTTGGTGAGATCTCAACTAAGTACAACAAGTAAAAGGGTTGTAAGTTGCCTTTAGCACCAGAGAAAGTATTACAGTTAAGTCAGGACTCTCTAAAACCCCATGCTTTCTTTTCAGAATGCAAAGTTGGAAAGGTCAAAGCAGACTTCCACTATTACAAATATACAAGTCTCTCTAAACAAAGATCCACCTGACAAAGGCATAGCCTTCAATTAAAAGAGCTACAATAAAAGAAAATGGGAGAAAGAGGAAATGTTGTAACATTTTTATAATGAAGTGCAAGGTGAAAGGAGTCTCCAAAGTTCAACTTACTGCTGCCATATTCATCACTCATCTCATCTATGGCAGATGCTCTTGATCTTACATCATCTTGTAAATCCGAAGGGGTTAATGTCAGATTATCAGCTTCTCTCATCTGCTTGGAAAGAAATTTTTCATATGAGTTTAGTTTTTTAATCTAGCTGTAGAGTTTTCTGCATCTTATAACAACTTTGTTACTAGTGCAGAGTTTAGCAAATGCCCACATCTCTAGTGTTAGAGATGGAAAATCCCATGGTGAATGTAACACTGGAAGGCATTCCATCACATTTTTAGATCCTTTTCAATAGTCTGTTAAGAAAGGGGCATATATTTATCATTAATTGCCCTTCAAAAGCAAGGCACAACAATATACAACTGAAGATTCATTTTCTGAAGTACAGACTTTATCTTCCTGCAAGATGATACAGACACAATATACCAAATATTGCCACTAACTTAAACAGGGGAACTTTAGGTTAGATATAAGGAAGAAGTTCTTCACAGTGAGGGTGGTGAGGTGCTGGAATAGGTTGCCCAAGGAAGTTGTGAATGCTCCAACCCTCGAGGGGTTCAAGGCCAGGCTGGACAGAGCCTTCGGCAACACAGTTTAGTGTGTGGTATCCCTGCTCATGGCAGGGGGGTTGGAACTAGATGATCCTAAGGTCCTGTCCAAACCTAACTATTCTATGATTCTATGATTCTATTCTTCAATTTTTACTCAGTCTCTACTAACACTCAATGGCAGATATTTGTGAGTGGACAACTTCTACAGTCAATTGAGTACTGTGGAAGCAAAACACTTTTACATGTTTCAGTTCAATTACTTGCACATAAAGTATTATCACCACTTTATCATCCACTTCCTGCTTGTGCCACTGCAAAAGTACCAGGATCTGAAAAGTCTTTTGAGAGCATGAGAATAATACCCAGATTTTTACTGACACCACATCAGCAGTGTGCAGACACACAGGACACAAAGCCAGCTGTAAACAGCTTATTGCTCTATTTTAGGATTAGGATTATCAGAAGCAGTGGTAAACAGTGTTTTAATACAGGCCAGAACCTTACACACCCCTCTTGCTGTGTAAGGCTCTACTACTTGGAGCCTATAGACCAACAGTGATCCAAGGGGGACTGAGCTGAGCAGTCTTGTTTAATTAGAATTAAATCAGATACGAGATATCACTTACCAAAATCTTCTTCTCCATATCTTGGTCATCATCAATAGAGTAGGTACTTCCCGAGAAAGCAGGAGATTTTCTATCTGCTCCCACTGCTGCTTCGTCACTGCTGTTTTCATACAGGTTAGAATACCCCAGCAATCCAGAATTATCTTCCTGTATGGATGACCTGGTGTGCATCATCTCAAGATCTGTGCTTTCCACTTCCGAAAAGGGTGTCAGGACTGGTTGAACATCCATGCTTATGTCTTGCTTTCTCATAATCTCCGGTGATCCCCACGAAGCCACACCTGCAGTGAAACCCTGGAAACTTGTCAAATTGCTTTTGCCTATGCTCAAGTTGTGCTTCGGAGCATCAGGAGTTTGATGACTTTCCAACATTTGCTGGCACTGCTTTTTCAAATCTTGCTCCTCTTCAGAGTTGTTGATTGCATCCAATTCCCAACTCAAGATATTTTCTTCTGATTGCTTGATTGGAGTTTTTGGATTTAGATTGTGAGTCTTTGAGTCAAACACAACTTCATCTTTGTCCTACAATGAAATAACACATGTTAATTGTGTAACAGAATTTAAATATGATTTTAAAAACTGAAAAGCATTAACTTCAAAAGATCTTTTCAAATATAATACTTGTATCTATTATCTGATGCTTTAGTATATTTTACATGCCACCTAACCAGGCTTTTTAACAAGCATATCATCAATAGCAGAAGAAAACCTCCCCACAACTGTACAATAAGCAAATGTCTTTCTGCAGAGCTGACTTTAGTATCAATCAGGAAATAAATGGTATTCCTTAAAGTGTAGACGATCTTCCTATGTTCAAATAGACACCAAAACCTGTTGCTTTACTAACTGGATAAATTTATCTTAATTCCTGACCCAGGGCACTAGGAAAAAATGGTTAAGAAGCCTACAGACAGTTCCTGTGCCTGCCATTTCAATGCAGGAGAAACTTTTGACCATCTACTTCTAGTCACTGCAAAGAACAACAACATAGAATCACAGACTGGTTTGGATTTGAAGGGACCTTAAGATCATTCAGTTCTCCCCCCCTGCCACAGGCAGGGACACCTCACACCAGACCATGTTGCCCAACGCTCTGTCCAACCTGGCCTTGAATACTTCCCTACTTGATGTGATCCTTGCACATAACTGACTATTTTCCAGCCTGAGGGCTTGGGTATCTGAATGGGCACAGAACCTTTCCATCCTCTTTCCCATAGTGAGGCATAGTCACTGACCAGGCCAAGGCTACACTTCCACCTTCAAACTGCAGAGACATCCCTGCCTACCTTGCTACAAGGGCTCTCATTCCAAACCCCTCTACGTCCTCTCCTGCTGTGTGGGTATCTGCTCTAGCATGGTCTCGTCAACGGGCTGTTTCTCACACTTCTTTCCCCTCACTCCTCACTGCCTGTGCAGCATTTTACCCATTATATCTTAAATATGTTTTTGCAGGAGTGCCACACATGTGGCTGACCCGCTCTGCTGTGGCCTGTGGTGGAACCAGCTCTGCCAGCATGGAGCAACCCTGGCCTTTTGTCAGGGAGGCCACTCTGCAGCTCCCCCACTGCCGACACCCAACCCATACCTTAGGATCCATGCCCCAAACCATACCCAGCTCAGAAAAACTGACTGGATTAGGTTTCCATGCATGCTTGGCCTCTTCTTAGTTCTTCTAAGCATCTACCTCTAGCAACTGCTGGAGAAACCATGAATAGACCCTTCAACTGACTCACCACGGCCACTTTTATGTCACAGTATTCATGTTCACCCTTTCTTACAGCACTGAAAAGAATAAACTAAAGGGCTTTATTTTTTAAAAAATATAATACTATTAAACCCAAATCACATACTTGTTTATCAGTGGGGGAAGCCAGTACTGCAAGTGGCTGATCAACATTTGCCTCCAGTTCTTCCAATTCCTCCATTCCTCTTTTAAGGGCTATGCCTTTTCTTTCTCTCTGGCAGAGAGGCTTGCGAAGGCGAGTCTCCTCCTGATCACATTGCTCCCTTGGCTTGTACGACTCCAACTGTGAAACCAGCTCACCTCTTTCCAGTTGTAAGGCTTCAAGCTCTTTCACATATGCTTTGATTTGATCTTTCAGTTTTGCAGTGCCACCTTGCAGCTCACTGATTTCTCTCTGATAAGCTGTTTCTTTCTGATTCAGTGCTTGCACCTGGGAATCAAGTCTAGAAACTTCTAATTGAAGACTATAAACATCTTGAGCCTGACTTGCATCTCTCTTTTCCAACTCAGTTTGAAGCTCTGCTGCCTTTTTTGTTAAGTGTTGCAACTCGGTTGTGTCAGCTTCTCGTTGATCTGCCATTCTCTTCATTTGCCTATTTTTCTCTAGAATATTTGCTTCCCTTTCTCTCACAGCCTCTTCAAGTTCTTGAAGGCGAGAAGAAGTCACCCTGGCTTCAGCCTCCCTCTGAGAAAAACGGGTTTGGAAAAGGCTGTGCTCTTCCTGAAGCGCATTGTACTGTGTTCTCAGAGAGGTCAGCTCTGCAACATGCTGCTCGGACGACTCCCGTAATTTTTGGCATTTTTTCTCCAAAATTTCCACTTCCAGTTTGAACTGTGATTCCTTCTCTTCCAGTTGGTGCTGCAGAGCTTCTCTAGCAGCTGAGATAAGCTCTGCCTCCTCTTGAAGTTCTCTCACTTTGGCGAGTAGCAATAAGTTTCTTCTGTTTGGATCAATATCACCCTGCCAGTCCAACAGTCCCTTCTTCAACTCATTCTGAAGGTTTTCCACTGGCTTTCCCAATGTAAGTTGATAGAGATCATCTTGGTTGTCACTAAGCTCATGACATGCTGGTCCGAGTTGTGCCAGCTCTTTCTGAAGCTTCTCAATCACTCCATGGAGTTGCTCTACCTCTTCATCTTTGTCCTTACGCAGCCTTTCCTGGTCACTGCGAAGGTGCTCAACAAGTGATCTGAGCTCTTCAATTTCAGATTTTTGGTCTTCCACAACCTGAGCAAAAGGATAAAGTCTGAATATTACTGTATGTAGGCGGAATTACTACTGCACATAGACTTTAAGTGACATTTTCCTCCTGAATCACACAGGCACTAAGTCACACATTTTACAGCAGGAAGAACTGCACACTTGAGCTGGTAGCTACTCGGAATAGATTTCATTTACAGTAAGACTCTTTCTTCCCCCAAAAATCAAGTAATGACCATAGAGTAAGTACTTTTACTTTATCCTCCAGAGTGCTCTCTAGCTCGTGCTGCAGCCTCCTCATTTGTTCATTCAAGTGATCGATTTCTTGATTCTTTTCTTCAAGTAGTGCTTGTGGGAATGATAAAGTTGAAGACTCACTAATACCCAGATCCTGATTTTGCTTCACATGAAGTTTTGTTAGATCCTCCTGATCAGAAAGAAACAGCAATCTCATTAGAAAGGACTTACTTTCTCTGCTAACCTAATGGCAGAACAGAACTAATGGCTTTATTTAAACAATCTCTTCCCTACTATAAAGTTAAAGAACTCAAGAACAGAACTACAGCTACTTTCGTTGGATTAGTACTACTGGATTAGATTGCCACAGTGTATCTCAACTGTTAAGGTAAGAGATGAACACTCTAGTTGCCAGACTGACAATCAGCCAGTTTTCTAACTTGTAACAATCTGTCAGGGCCAGAAAAATGCTAAGTTTTTTTAATCAAATCAAATTACTGTAGAAGATAATGCCATAAGCCTGAATCTAGAGCATTGTTGGGGGTGTTCTACAATGTCCGGCATTAGCCTTGTAACAGTAATGCAATATCCCCTTGACAAGAGAAACAAACTAAGTATCTGTTTATAACATCACAAGATGAAGACCACAGCACTCAAGAAAGCAGGCTCTGAAGTTTGAGCGGATGGACACTACAGCTAAGGAAACCTACCTTCAAGTGTGCATTCTCTAACTGAAGCTGGCTGATGCTGGAAGTGCTAAGCTTTTCTTGCATCTCTAACTGCAAGTTCAGCTGCAGTATCTCCTCATTTTTACTGATCAAATTCTCTTTATACTGCTCTAGTTGGTCTAACAAGCTTGCAATCTGAAAGAAAGAAGAAAAGGCATAGTTGTTTCAATGAAGTCCTGATCTAAGCAGAAAAAACTTCATCACCTTATTTACTGAGAACAAGTAACTTCAGCAAATTCTAAGATTTAAACTCTCTCTAATCAATTTGCATGAATAGAATACTTGAGACATAAAAAGAAAGTGAGAAGCTGATGTTCCAGCTCCTCAGCTGCAAAATCAAAGTACTGCAAAGGTGGTTTTCCACTTCTTTTTCAAAAAATCTAACTGCTCATAAAAGATTTGTTAATCTGTGTTCTGAACAATCAAAGCTTGACTGATGTAAGCTGACATAACAACATCAAATGTTAGCATTTGATGTCTAATGTAATCATAAGCAGTTAACATAATCACCGTTCTCCTCCTTCTAGAAGATAGAAATTAGCCCTGTAGTGCTAATCCCAGTAACACAGCAACTGAAACAGTTCCGAGCATTGACTCCTTTGACCTGTAAAAGGAGTCAGTAACTACACATTTCACTCCTTGTAGCTGTTTGAAAGCTTGAGAGCTATTTGGAAACACTGTGATCTTGCCACCCACAGGTTTGTTTATCATCTCTTGCCTTCATGGGTGAGAATTCCATTCCTTTGAGAATGGAAAAGGCTTAGTGGCTCCCGAAGTCAGACTTCATAAGAGACATGGAACTTACATTGATAAGAAATTAGTTCTTATTAGCTTGCTGCTCTTGAAACAATGGTATACAAATAAGTACAGGATGAGCCATGTTTTTCTTCTTTGCACATCCTAAACTGGACTCTACACACACACACAAACAGCATATTACAGATACAATAATAATGATGAAATATCACATAAACACACAGTGGTGGGTGTACGTATCTGTGCATGTAAATCCAATAGTAGTTCTAAATAACGTGACCAGTTATACTGTGTTTCAGCTTCACATGAGAACTCATCATGAACTTTTTTGGCTTGCAAAACAGAGGAGGTCAGATGACACTATTATGAGCACTTGACCCTTCTGTTCTTATAGGAATTATCACTCACTCTCAACATGAACCCAAATGTATCTACCTTCTGCTCCACCTCAACTCTGGAAGATCAGTTTACAACAAATATTGATCAATCAGTGTCCAAGTTGATGTGAATTATCACAAGACAGTTTCCAGTGGGAAAGGAGACAGATGGGCAGAGGGATGACAAAACAGAACAAAGCAAGAAAAAGGAAGGTTAGTTCAGGCCAAAGCATGGAGAATTCTGGAAAAGAGGCACACTGACTACAACATCAGTCATTGGATTTTTGAATGGCTTAAATGTCCAGCTACATGTTTGCACTAACTCTTACTTCTCTTTCTTTTGACTGAAGTGCTTCCTGCTCTGCTTCTAACTGCTCCTTCAGCACCGGGGCAGCACTGCTATCTGGTGGCACTCTGTGCCTTGCTTCATCCAATTTGGACTGGAGGGCAGAGATCTGAATCAGGTTATTGTACTGTTGCTGTTGCAATGCCTCTTTATCCTGTAAAAGACATTTTTTGTTTTATGCTAGAATTAATTATTGTCAATATACATACCCACCTAACAGAACAACCCTGCCAAAATACTTCATCACCCCCAACAAGCGCCAGTACAAGTAGTACATAATCCCAATGGCCTATAAAGAGACAGGAATTCAAAACAACCAAATGTTTTTGGCTCACTCACATGAAACACATGGTATTAGCCAGCCCCTCAGGCATCCTGCTGCCATACATGAAAGGACTCACATAACATCAAAATCCAAGCAACAACAGAGCCGTTCTTGGTTTTATATCAAGTAAAACTAAGACATTACCCACAGTATCTTGATGACCCACAAAACCCCTCCAGTAACCATGTGCCAATCCATATTCCTGAAGAACTGGGCTACCTTACCTCAGATTTTCCCACATTTACTCAACAGCAGAGCTGCAAGTGTGCCATAGCTCTGGACACAAGTTAAGATTGTCCTGGCATTCCCCAGCTGGTAAATTCTGAGGTTCCTATGGTGACCCAGTAAAAAAAAAAAAAGTGGCAACCCAAGCAAAAGTCAGAGCTTTATGTACACTCACTGAAAACATTCTTCTGGATGCCCAAACAGATGTAGTCAAACATGGCATCTTCTTCCACTGATACCAGAATCCATAGGACAGCAGACTCCCTCAATGAACCCCACTTTCAAGACCTCAAGCAAAAGGATGATCAATCCTCCCAGCACAACCCTAACTGCAAGTGTCAAAGAGAAGCTGCATGGAGACCTCAGAGCAGCCTTCCAGTATCTGAAAGGGGCTACAAGGATGCTGGAGAGGGACTCTTCAACAGGGACTGTAGTGATAGGACAAGGGGGAATGGGTTTAAACTGAAACAGGGGAAGTTCAGGTTAGATATAAGGAAGAAGCTCTTCCCTGTGAGGGTGCTGAGGCGCTGGCACAGGGTGCCCAGAGAAGCTGTGGCTGCCCCATCCTTGGCAGTGTTCAAGGCCACGTTGGACACAGGGGCTTGGAGCAACGTGCTCTAGTGAAAGGTGTCCCTGCCTGTGGCAGGGGGGTGGAACTGAGCTTTAAGGTCCTTCCCAACACAAACCAGTCTGGGATTCTGTGTATGTATCAATCTAAACAACTGAAAGGAACTGCAGCAGAAGAAGACAAAGACCTGCTCCATGCACATAAAAGCAGGACAAAAGGATCCGCTAGCTGTGAGTTTAGACAGTATTCTTCACAAAGATACCATTCTGTATTCAAAATTATTCTTTCCAGACCTATTTCTTATTGGCACTTGTCTCCAGTAGCTGCAATACATTTGTCATATGTTGGAAGTTGGGGCCATGCCATGCACACTGTGTCTACTTTTACAGGAAAATGCCGTGACGCGCAATCATTCTTAGAGCTCCATTGGCACTTATTTACTGTCAAAATTGCTCTAAGACAAGCTATTACAATGCCTACAATTGGCAAATAGAATGATATAACCTTGTTTAAAACTGATTAATTAGTTTATTGGAAGAAGTCAAAAACAAAACCAAGAGCCTGAATTTGGCTTATTTAGGATTTTTAAGAGTAGGACATTCAAACAGCTAAAACAATATTTGAATTTGTGTGGGTAACAGAAAGTTAAGATTTTAGAGACAAGAGCAACTTGCCAACAGCAGCATCACAGTCTCCATCCACTTCAAGGCAGGCCAGACCTAAAGCTGATGGACATGGCTCTTGCGTGTTTGGATAAAATCACAGAATGGCTCAAGTTGGGAAGGGTCTCTAGAGCTCTCTGGTCCAACCTCCGACTCAAAGCAGAACCAAGCTGGCTCTGCTCAGGGCCTTGGCCAGCTGAATTCTGAACATCTCCAAGTCACAGAGATAGCACTGCCACAATGAGCCCCTTTTTCAAAATCTGGCTGCCCTTGATATGACTGTTTCCCATTTAATTGGAATTCCCCCTGTTGCAGTTTATGCTTTTTATCCTTACACTACACACCTCCAAGTCTGCCTCCATCTTCTTTATAACCTCATATTATGTGGTTGTAGCCAACAATAAGATCTCTGCAAAGCTAAACAAACCCCGTTCTTCCAGCGTCCCCTCAAAACTCATTTCCTCAAGCCCCCTGACCAGTTTGATGTTCCTTTGCTAGACTTGCTCCAGTATGCCAATGTCCTTCACGTACATGGGAGTCTAAAACCAGGCACTTCTCCAGATGCAATCTCACAAGTGCTAAATATATGGGAATAATAATAGCTAATAAGCTACAAGTGACTAGTCTGACATTATCTGAAGCTAAAGCATGACATAAATAATTGTTCAATATTTTAAACATTAAAATAATGGAAGCAAATATTTACAGATTTAGCAATTAAACTAATCAATTTAGTTTACAGCATGCCAACCTTAAATCTTCAGACTTGACAGACATGCCAGCAGTACTAAACTAATGAAAACTGCTGGGAGGGAACTGAAATATTTAGTTTAAGGTAGAAAAGGTTACTTAGATGTTTGGTAAAAGACAAATACTTTTGCTAAATGAAATGTTATTCTTAACTCTAAGCTGTGACTAAATCTGCAGTAGAAAGAAAGCACGAAATGTAGAGTCCGGCAAACAGATCTGGCTCCAAAGACACATAGCAAGAAGAACTACCAATTAAAATAGGATTTTAAACATAGTTACTTATTGAAGACCCACAATGTTTCATATTCAGTAACACTATCTTCTTGGGAATTGTCAGAGAGCAAAAGAGCTACTCTGATCTATGCAAACATGACAACTACCAGAAAGCAGTCTCTGTAGTAAGTAGGCTTATAGTTCCATATCATATAGTAAATATCTATATAATAAAGTAAAACCAAAGCTTGATTAAAACTGTGGCTGTGATACCTGCCATTGACACAACAGTTTAATTCACAACTAGGTGCCAGGGATAGTATAGTCTCAAACACCACTGTAACACACTGATATCCTCCGTGAAGACACCGTCTCCGTAACACCACTCATTTAAATAAGCATTTTAAAATTACTTGTTTTAATTCAGTTTCCACTTTCTTCATTTTCTGCAGTTGCTGTTCCAAGCAGTGCACGGTCTTTGAGACTTCAGTACCGCTGTGCTTCAGTTCTGCAATCTGTGCCACCAGTTTTTCTATCTCTTTATCACGAGCTGTAATTTCTTGGTGTTTTTGTTCCTTTTCTAGTAACAGCTTATTGTAATCATCCATCTTCTCCTTTATTTCTGCTTGTAAAGATTCTACCTACACAGAAATCACATTATACAGATATTCAGGAAATACAAGAAACTTCCAATTGGTGGCCAGAGTAATTTCATGGCAGAGCAGGTAGAGTTCTACTATGGACTACAGTAGTGGTAAAATTCCAGATGAAAGTAAAACTAGATGTGAACAGGAAGGATGAAAAAGTAACTTTCTGAACTCTTGTTTTCCAAATCCAGCAGCTCTTAAATACACATTTGAGTACTCTTAATATTGGCAGTATTCTTGCAAAGTACTCAAGGCCCAGAGGTTATCGAAAGGGGTCATGTGGTGTGGGAGTGGGTTTTGGTTGGGTTTTGTTTGTTTAAAGCTAAAAAACCCCAAGATTACATGAATTATTAGTAATAGCATTAGATGCATTTCTGTAACCTCAGACCCTGCTTTCATTACTTCATGGAATTCCAGTTTAAAGGAAAATACCAAGAATTGAAAGCTAAATATGCACCGTAACATACTCAATGCCTGCAAATCAGAAAGATTCACAGTAGTCAATGCAGAACAGGTCCTTTTTTCCCCCCGATCACTCAAGTATGAAGAGGATATTAATTTTGAGATCTAATCATGCACAGAGCTCCAGGAAAATGGTCACTCATTCATCCCAGTAATCAAAGTGAAGGCAAGGCTAGGAGCTTGGGTAACAGAGGCAGGAGAGAACCAAGTGTAAGAGACTACACTGGAAGTGATAAAGTCATCACGCACATTGAAAGCAAGCTCAGATATGAAAGCAATGGGAAACCTAAAGGAAAAATAATTTGGTCAATATCAATGAATAAGGAAGATGAGATTTTACAAACTAAATGCTTTGTTCATCACTAAATGTCTGAATTTCTACAAACTCCAAACATAATAAAGTAAAAATTCTTTGTATTAACACAGAACTTCACATCTTCCAAGTATTTTATAGATATTACTAAAGAAGAACACCCTCTAGCGAAATACAGAAGAACAGAGTTAATTTAGTCAAATTAATAAGCATGGAGAGCATCACAGACTAGATGAGAATACTAAAAGTACTGCTTTTCTAACACCAAGGTGCACAGGTTCATAAACTGCATAAATGAATAGCTGGAAATGAAATTAAGCAGTATACACACTGAAGTTTTGTTAAGAGCATGGCCATAAACAAGAGCTGAAGACTAAGGCATGGTGTATCACTGAAATTCCATTATCCTTGTTTCATACTCTAAACCTCAACTTCTCCTTTCATGCCAAAAAGCTCTTTTACAGTATGTAACTGCCTGTAATACATGGGAGCAGTAAGACAGGAGAATGAAGCACTTAAGTACAGGAAATTAAACTGAAAGCAGTTCCTCACTCCCTGCAAGAGTTCTGCCACCCTAAAATACGTGTCCTTATCTCCAAGGCAAACTAAAGGCTTGACATATCAAGAACAGGGGTAAAAAGCTAAAGCAGATCTAATTAACAGAGGGGACTGAAAGAAAAAGGAAAGAAAAGTTAGGGATGTTCATGCTGTTTTCCATACCTGTAGAATCAATTCATCGTTCTGTATAATGTTCATTTATGTGAAAAAAACCCAAAACAACAAACAGAAAAGCAAAAGTTAATCTTTGAAATCAAACACAAACACATTAAAAAAAAAAAAAAAAAAAAAAGGAGTAATTTATCAACTAAAATAGCTCAAGACATGCAGACAAAGAACATCTCTTTTTACAACTGTTACAGGTGGTAAAACTAAACACATTTAGAACCCAGAAGTCATCCCTTACGTGTGCTCTGTAGAGTCAAGTGTCTGTATTGTGTTCTCCTCATTTAATTTAAACGAGACTTAGAGGCTGTGAAACTTTACTGTGATGTATATACAACATTTCTTTCCATCTCCAGAAGAAATAATGTAAGTATACTCTCACTGCATAAATGTAGCCCAGTCAGCTGCGGGGAAAACTGCTCTCTGGGTGACAACAGACAAAAGATGTCTCTCAAGAGCCGGTACCCAAAAAGCACAGGTTTTGGTATCTAATGGTAGTAAACAAGCTCCTTTGGCCACTGAGTGTGATTTTACTCACCCTGTACTCCCTGGGCTTTCCTGAAGTCTGCAATTTTGCTGTAAGTTTTAACCGTTCCTCCAGTTTCTGAATTTCCTGCTGCAAATCATCACGTTCATGTTCCCTTTCTATAGCTTGTTCCTGTAAACCCAGCCAGAGAATGAAAAGCTTTTTATAGAAACTCTGCATCTCATCTTTTGATGAGTACAAGAAAAGAGTACAAGAAAAACGTGGGGGTTGTTTTTGTGGTGAGGAAACTGCTCACTTCAAAATTAACACCTTTTAGCAGTCCTGAAAGTATAGCTCAAGTTACAGAAAAGGAAATCAAAGGGACAACAAACTTTTTGCCTCTGATGTACATACAAATTACAATTAGCAATCAATAAAAAGAAAGAAATTATTCCGTAATATTATAGAAAGGCAATTAAAAAACTACCTTTACATGAGTAGAATACCAAGGTCTTAATTTGAAACAAAATGGAAAGTATCCCATTTTAGGGACAATCTTCCCAGTCTCAGCCACAAGCTAGAAGGAGTATTTATCACCTCCAAAGCCATCGAAAGGTAGAACCAAGCTTGCTTACATCCATGAATTGTCGCTGGTTTTTAAGCTGTTTTTCAAGCACTTGAATTTGCTGTTTTAATTCAGCAACCTCCAATAACTGGGTAGCCAGATCTTGGTTACTATGCAGCTGTTCTTCCAGTTCCACCTCCAACACTTTCATTTGAGAGCGTAAGTTGGAATGGTCCTTTTCTGCCTGACACTGAAGATCTAACTTCTCCTTTGCTAAAAATTCTACTTCCTTCAGTAGACCTGAATAGGGACACAAAAATAACAAAGTTATCAGTGCAGGGTATGAAAATCAAATTGAGTTGAAGATGAGGTTAAATTCAGCATCAAAACCAAAGGAAAAATCTCCTGAGATGTAAGAGACTTAAAAGTAAGTCTGATACTTCAGTGCCCATTGTGTCTCTGAAAGGTATCTCCAATAAGAGCACTGTATGGTGCAGTGAAGGACCACATGGGCATTTGTTCTCAATCTCAAAGTGAACCCCAGCTGGAGATATTCTGGGCACATAGAAAACCTTCACTTTCACCCCTGGAGACCTCACAGTTCCCATCTCACCTGACCAGGAGTCCTTTGTATTCCTTCCCTAGGTGCTTGCCCTCTCAACCCAGTTCCACACTCTTGCTGCCCCAGAGGCTCTTTCCAAAACAGTTCCTCAATCCTCCAAATTCATTCCATTCCAGATGTGCTCCATCCCTAAGTTTAAGCTCCACACCCCACTGTCAGCCACCTAAGTCTCTCATACCCATCTTTCACTGTTCTATCCTAAACTCTTACCACTCCTTTTACCCCACCCTACTTCAAATCTCTTCCTGATCAAACAATCCAATAAAGAACTCTCAGTTCCTCCAAACTGCCGTGCTGAGATCCTCCTTAAACCTCCAACAAACAGACACAGGTCAGCCTCTCAGTTACTCCTCTGCCCCACGCAATGCTGGATACTGCTGCTGCTGTCTACACTGTTGAGTTAGCACCCAGTCCATCTTTTCAGTGGTCACTGGTGCCCAGCCCTACCCTGAAGCTAGCTGCTATAAGAAAACGAAGTTAATCTTGTTCTCTGAACCTGAGTGCGGATTAAAACCCAAAGTCACACTTACAGAAACTCATCCCAGTGCTAAGGTTACAAAGGGAAGAAACTCCTGAAGAAATCATGGCACATATTTGCCCTACACAGACTGCAAAAGAAATACCACAGATTTGAAAACATACATAGCTCAAGATCATTTAAGTTATTAAGAACCAATTTATACCTACAAACTGCATTTTCAATCAGCTGGATGCACTGAATCCACTGTTTAGGAGACCAAAACTGACACTCTATTGTGAATGCACTTAGAATAAAACTATTTTAATGTGCATATAGCTAAGTAACCTGAACATGAAAATAGAAGTTTGGCTGTTCAGTATTTAAAGCAGGGTCCTGCAAGAGCTCTTTACTTTACTTTCAAGTGTCCCATTATTCTTATTAAATATTTTCAGCCATAGAGATGTAAGTCTATGATTCCAACAAAGTCATCCAGCCCAGTTCCCAAAATGGGACAATTCTCTTTTCCAACCATGATCAACTCAATCCACATAATTTCTGATCAAGTATCAATTTAAGGTTGTACCAAACCTTCAAGACCCAAACTGATTCCACAGACTCCTCACATCAACTTTTCTAGTGCTTCACTATCCACAAGTATTTAATGAAATCTATAGACACTTTAAAATACACCAATAAACATGAACATTTCAATGTGCATGCTTAAGAGGAGAAGCATCACAAACTTAGAATGATGCAACAGCATTTTCATTAAACATTGGGGAACATGTCAACAGAGTAAGGATAACTGAACAGAACGCGTAGGGACTAGGAAGACTGTCTCTGGAACTTAAAGAGGCTGGATAAAGAGAAACAAGTCAAGTAGATTCTGTTTGGGGACAAAAATATAGACTAAATGTTTATTATTTTATATATAAATATACACTAAATATATTTGCTATAGTCTAAATATAGACTAATAGCTCTGGGGCCCCTAAGGCAAGAGGGAAGTGGAGCTGTTGGAGTGATTCCAGAGGAGGCCACGGAGATGCTGTGAGGGCTGGAGCAGATCTGCTCTGGAGCCAGGCTGAGAGAGCTGGGCTGGGGCAGCTGGAGAAGAGAAGGCTCCTCAAGGGGACACCTTAGAGCAGCTCCAGTGCCTAAAGGGGCTCCAGGAAACCTGGAGAGGGGCTTTGGACA